GGTTTTGTTCAAAGCCACGTTTACCATTCGATGACTGCAAGGAGAAGTGATGCCTAGAACTGTCATGCTAGAATAAACATCTGATCTGTCTAAGCTGGTGTTATTGGTACAAAACGTACCAGGAACATCAAGAAAATTCCCAGAAGTTATGAAAGGGGCAACTAAAACTTCCTACTCTTCCTAGTCCTTTGGGTCGTCAGTTTACCAAATAAAATACACAGTAAGAAACATAAATTTAAAAAAAATTATTCTTTCATTATTCACATAAATATTGCATCTACCTTTAATGTGACCAACCTATTTAGGTGGAAACCTAGCCAGACATTTTAATAAGATTTTTCCATAAAAGAAGGAGCTTAGCTTTGGAAAGGAACTCTTTTGGAATGGCATTTCCATTGCTAGTTCCCAAAATTTACTAGCTACTTTTTCAAAACAGTGTTGCTTGCAACTCCACTGAATCGCTTACTGCTGCGCTTGGCTGAATTAAGAGGATCTCTAGACAGCCAGTGTAAAAACAAAATGTTCAGATTTCCATTTGCGATAACTGATATTTTAATGAAATCCCCCCCAACTACTGCACACTGATTTCACAGTACTCTATTCATCAAATCTGTTCCATATGTTGCAGCCAGCAGATGGTCAACACAGCAGTTTTGAATTCAGAACCAAACAAGGCATCGCCACGAAACGCAGAAGAGGAGGCCCATTATTTAAGAGGAAGCCAGAGGCATTATTTATAATATCGGTACTGTGGGAATGAAATGTTGTGCAACCCTCCAGAACTGAACACTGTGTACAGAAGTTGCTGAACATGTGCACAGAGCTACCAAATACTCACTAGTCAGAAAGAAAAAACTATTAAAAATATGTTACCGCGCAAAAGTGTGCAAGAAGATTTAGTTTTATTCTGGGCTTAGGGAGAGTGAGAAACAAACCACATGCACCCACTCACCTCAACAGCAGCGTTTCATTTCCTGACAGCTACCCAATTTATGTCAAAACCTCATGGACAGCAGAAAGCAGCTTTCAGGCAAAAGAAAGCTCCCATATGAGACTTAACCTCTCCTGCTACCTCAGGAGGGGTACAAAAGCAGGCTGTGGAGAAGCACACACGAGCCGGACAAGGCTGCCCTCTGCTGATGCTCAATTCAGTTCTGTCAGGCACTTACCGCTGCCGGAGCGTTCACCACCGAGAGATTGTAACCGTAAAGAAAAGATGACCCAAAAGCACCAGTTAAAGAGGCTACAATAAGACTCCCAGACCAATTCTGAAAAACAAAGAAAAGATAAAGCCGTTGTTAGTATACTTTAAATTAACGTACCTCAGGTTTTAAACGCTCCTTATGCTATCTTGAGTAGCTCTTGCAGGCAGATCTTCTTGCTGCAGAATGGCCTGAAACACTTCCCTTGCTGCAATCCAAGGAACAGTAAATTTGAAGTGACAGTATCTCGGTTAACATTTACTGAGGCATAAGTGAACATTTGAACTTCTTTCAACCTCACAGATTTTTGCTGCAAGCATCCCATCAGCCCCCGCACCAAAAAGTAAAATGCTGGGGAAGCATGTTCTCAGCAGAGGAAACTTGGCAACATAGCACTAACACGAAGAAGCAGGGAGCACCACATATTTGATGCAACAGGTCTGTGGGTAGACCTTACTTAGGGGAAAGCCTGTGAGCTGGTGTGGCCCCCCATTCCTATGCGTATAAGGATTAGTAAAACTGTGACCAAACAAATTAAAATGATGCCTACAAACTAGGTTTTGTAATCCACAATCAAGTCTCCAACAGTAATTTGCTGCCACATATACACACGCTCCGGTGAAGATGCCGTTTGCCTTTTTTCCCCAGTGACACACTCATACTCTCCCTTTTCAGCTCTCCTCCCTCCATCCCCCTCGTCTTGTTTTTATGGCCCACCTCTGCTAACAATTTCTTCTTCCGCATCAGCTGTTGAATAAACGGTAGGACTGCTTAGATACTGGCGTTTCAGTCAGCTGATTTGAGAGACCTTACATTTTGGCATCCCTTCCACCCTCCCCAGTATTACTCAGTTCTCCTGCTGCATTACAGAGGGCAGCAGAAGCGGCCACTGCCATTCCCAAGAGACATTAAAGGCAGTGTTCTGGTGGCCAGTTTGCTGCACATATTGTTTTGTGGATTATGGAAGACAACTCACCTTTCTTGACTTCTAAGTACGTTAAATTGGATGGCTTTTTAATGTGGGGTTGTTTTTTTTTTTTTTAAACTCCGCAAGAATCTAGAAGTTCAGGCACATCTCGCTGTCATTTCACATCCAGCCTCATCACTCACTGAAATCTCAATGCTTTCACAGGGAGAAAGATGTGCTTAAGGAGGCCTAATAAAGTCAGCTTCAGTTGTATCACTGCTAGCAGATACAACAGGTTAACGATTCAATACACTCCATCAGCTGCACAAAGCTGTACATTTGCTTTGGAAAATGAAGATTGGGAGCATGAACCAGCCTTGTGGCATAGTGGCAGTGACGATGGACCAGAACGAGCTCCATCAGCCTCACAGGCACAGCAGGCCAAGCGAACGCACGCTGTTGTTAGCGTGTGCTGGAGCTCACATTCCACAGTCGTCGCAGACTCGCCACGAGCCGTGAAGAAGGGATGAGATGCTGGGGTGCCAGGGCAGGGACCGCAGCGCACAGCCCAACACATAGGGTCTGCCACGCTCCGTAGCTGCTGCTCCCGAGGGCTCAAAACGTGCCCTGTGGGACAGCTGAGTGTTTTTAACTTCTTCCACGCAATGTGGGAACTTTTTAAGAGATTACACAGTTCATTAACCAGCCTGTTTTCGGTCAGGTCAGGAGAAAGTAGACGGGAGGGAAAAAGCCTTGTGTAAGAAATCTATCCAGTCAAGTTCATTACATAAGCCAAATACAATTTCTTATTATTAGCCAGCTTCTTAAAATGAACCTGCCACACACACAAAGCTTTGCGCCATTACTTCAGTAGCAAAAAGTAGAAATTTTGACAGAAGTCTTTATTTAGCTTCCAGTGGTAACAACTCATATTATGTGCCCATTATTTCTCTACTATGCTCAAGCATTTCTACGCTTAGGAGGAATTGCTACTACCCTGAACTAGTGACGCTGAGAATATTCCTGGAGGTCTACCAGGCTGCTCTCAAAGGGTTCACAAACGATAAGCGTGAGTTCACCAGTGCTATGCGGTAATCTTGTTGCAATATTGCTAAAGGGCTCTGCTCCAACAACGCTAGAGCCATCGAGAAAGATCCTGCAAACAAAATTATTTGGATCATATAGCTTCGTGTATATTAAAAACTCCACTGAAACCTTTCAGCACGGGAAAATTATATGCACATGGGGCTAAGTGGAAGATAATGCAGGACAAATCACAGAAGTGCTGCCAAATTAGAAACCCCCCATCCACTTTATTTTTAACTGTTGCAAATAGCTGGGTTTAGAGCCTACTTCAATACCAAGAAGTTTTCAAGTATACAGCCTGCTGCAGAAAACCTCAGACTTACTCAGTTCAGAGTTCTACAGTTCTTGAAACACGAACTTCAACTTCTCCATGACCTACCTCCTCACACACTATTTTAAATATTTGCTCAGGCTTCAGCAATGCCAGATAAAAGACAAAAGTACAATGAAGCAAGAACACACAAAAAAAAAATTTCAAACTGTTGCTCAGAAAAACATTTACCCTCTGACAACACCAGCAAAAGGAAAGGAGAAAAAAAGAAAAACCCAAAGTAAGAAATCTTCGGTAAACACGAAGGCGACTACGCCTCCCTCATAGGTGTTCCTTCACTGCCATCCGTGTGCTCATGCGTCGCTGCCGTCAGCGCAAGGGCAGGTAGGTGTGACCGTCACCACGGCAGTAAGTGTTCAGTCTGGAAAGTTGCGTGTCAGCTCACAGCAAAGACCTCCAGATACCTGAGATCTACTTACTTGCGAGAGTCCGCGGCTTTGGTTTTATCACACATCCCAGGGCACCGTGCTCTGAAAGATGCTTTTCCCAACTCCTGTCCTTGCTCAGCGTCGCATTTGTGCCAGCTACTGTGAGCCTTCAGGTGCCTTTTTATTTTAAATGCATGCTAGTTTGCATTTCAGCTTTCAAAACACAGTTTAGAACACTGTATTTCGCTTCGTTATTTGTAATCCCCATCTCAGATTAAAACACACTTGTAAGCGTGCATAAGGAGGTTGTAATACACTTAAACGGATACTGCTAAAGCTTTCTAACGATATCGGGAACCCGGATTTTGGAGCTCCTTACCCGATACCCTGAAGGAGACCCATTTTTGGAAAGCCCCGAGTACCCAGGCCATCCCGAACCCGG